TTAAAAGGGGTTTGAGTGGTTAATGAAAGGTACATTCTGACTGCCAGGATTTGTAGACTTACAAAAGAGGCAATTCTGGGTTCCCCTAACTGTAGATATTTGCTGTACCTTTTCCAGCATACAGCCTTGGCACTCAGCGCTGTACTTTAGCTTTACTTTCTCTCTCTTTCACCTTTGCCTTTGAGATGGGCTGAACTTGCTGTTCCACTAGTGAACTTCAGTCTCTGGACTTGTATACACGTGAAATGAGCCTCCGATCAAAATCAACTTTTTAGGTCACACTTAGAGTTAGCCTTGGAATGTGCTTATCACACCCAGGTCCATTTGGCAAAGGTAGACATTTCATGAACCAGATTTCCCATCACTCTTACCTGCTCCAAGTCAACTCTTCCAGGCTGCAGCACGGCGTGAAGAAACGGTTCAGAGCTCTGTCCGATCAGGTGTGCTTGGTTGGGGTATAAACCAGTCTCTTCTCCAGCCAGCAACTGCTCTTGTTCAGCTACCATTCCTATATTTTAATTTCACTTGCAAACTTTTGGCCTCCAAATTTTCATTGAAATATGCCTTACTGGCAGATGAGATCTGCTCGGTCAGGCACTTCTTTTAAGCTCAAACTGCATATATCTAATTTTCTAGGTTTATCTTGAAAGTTTTCATGTGCATTTGCATGCTCTAAAGATATTACTTTGTTTGTAGATGCCAATTTCATCCACCTCTCTACCCACTGGGTTTCCATTGCATCATTTGCTGCAGCTTCAACCCAGTTCTCAAGAACAATTAGGCACTTAAATACTGTTTAAATCAACCTCATTTGGATATCTAAACAAGTCCTTGGAGTGGGACTATCTTCTAGCCACAGGCAAACTTTCAAAATCTCAGAGGTGAAAACCTTTTTCCAAATGTTCAGTCTGAATGTCTCAAACTTCTGTTTGTGGCCCTTTTTATACTATTTACTGCTACCCAGAAAATTGTGGCTCCATCTTCATTGTTACCCTCCATCAAGTACCTGTAGGCTGTGGATGCATGCTACAGAATCACAGAATCATTAATGTTGGAAGAGACCTCATCAAGTTCAACCATCAACCTAACACCACCATGCCCACAAAACCATGTCCTGAAGTGCTCTATCCACACGCTTCTTGAACACCTCCAGGGATGGTGACTCTACCACCTCCCTGGGCAGCCCGTTCCAGTGTTTGACCACTCTTTTCAGTGAAGAATTTTTTCCTAATATCCAATCTAAACCTCCCTTGGCACAACTTGAGGCCATTACCTCTTGTTCTGGCACTAGTTACCTGGAAGAAGAGACCAATACCCACCTCTGTACAACCTCCTTTCACATAGCTGTAGAGGGCAGTAAGTTCTCCTCTCAGTCTCCTCTTCTCCAGACTAAACAACCCCAGTTCCCTCAGCCACTCCTCATAAGACTTGTGCTCCAGAACTCTCCTAGTAGCTCTTCTCTGGACACACTCCAGCGCCTCAATGTCCTTCTTGTAGTGAGGGGCCCAAAACTGAACACAATATTCAAGGTGCGGCCTCACCAGTGCCGAGTACAGTGAACAATCACCTCCCTACTCCTTCTGGCCACACTATTTCTGATACAGGCCAGGATGCTGTTGGCCTTCTTGGACTCCTGGGCACACTGCTGGCTCCTGTTCAGTCAGCTGTCTACCAGGACCCTCAGGTCCTTTTCTGCCTGGCAGCTCCAGCCACTCTTCCCCAAGCCTGTAGTGCTGCGTGGGGTTGTGACCAAAGAGCAGGACCCAGCACTTGGCCTTGTTAAATCTCATACAATTGACCTCAGCCCATTGATCCAGCCTATCCAAATCCCTCTGAATAGCCATTCTACCCTCGAGCAGATCAACACTCCCATCCAGTTTGGTGTCCTCTGCAAAGTTACTGAGCGAGCACTCAATCCCCTCATCTAGATCATTATAAAGATGTTAAACAGAACTAGCCCCAAAACTGAGCCCTGGGAACACTATTGTAGAGCACAGGACTTCCAACATGGTGGTTGGTGGTTTTTTCACCTTAAAAATCTTATCATAACACATGTAGAAGCAGCTCAAAAACTCTCTTCTTGCCTTCTTCTGGTAAGCACAGGACACAAGTGTGGACTTCCCATTGGCTCGTACCACAGCTAAGCCGTAGCAGCTTCTTTTGAAAAGTAGCTATTATTGAGAACTTTCAAAACTGTTTGGCCCATAGCCTCTCACCTATGAACTCTTATGACACTGTTAAGCAGGCACTTATTCTGCTGCATCATTGCTTTCAAAAAGACCTTGAGCCATTCACCTACAAACTCTTATGGCCCTTCTTGAGCAAGAACTGCACATTCTGCTGCACCATTGTTTATATTAAAAGATGTTTGGTTAATATGTTACCCAAACTTTGGTGACACCGCTGCTTGGTGTGCTGGCTCCTGCTTACCACGCAGAACATTGTGTGTGAACTCCAGGCACCTTTCTGAGCAAAGGTGTAAGAGAGGAAGTTGGAAGTTTAGGTCTGCCATGTCAATAGTGCAGCACTTTTCTTATAAGCTCTCTGGACAAGCTCAGTGGCCATGTAAGTTGATTCCTGTCTTGATTCTGGCACAGGACAGTCAAATGCACAGTGACTCCCTTAAAACAACCCTGACCCAGAAAAATCCCTCTACAAACAACTGCTACCTTTCCTAATCAAAAACCTTGATAAACCTGATCTTTGAACTCCAGCAACCTGTCTTAGCAAACATTTTATAGAAGTAGAGATTAAAGACCATCAAGTTAGGTAGAGGTACAACTGTTTTTTGCTTTCATGTGCTGCTTGGAAGAAGTAAGAAGGCACAGTTCATTTCTGTTCCGGCTGACAGCCCCATGACAGTTATGCGTAGGTACCAGATATACACTGGGCTGCTTCTTTTTTCTTCTTTCTGGAGTTTGACGGAAGGTGGAAAGCTCTTGGTCGTGCCTCAGGATGGAAGTCACTGGCTGAGCATGCGTGTGGTTCTGGAGAAACTCTGGGAGAGGGGGCACGAAGTCGTTGCGGTGATTCCTGAAGCCTCTTTGCTCATGAAAAGCTCACAGTCTTTCACCATCAAAACATACTCTGTGCCTTACACACAGGAATATTTGGATAGATACTACAAACACATCGGTGAACACAGTTTTGATAACTCTCCCTTTCTAGAAAAATTTTCAGTTTTACTCAGCAATATATCAGAAGTGACCACCATGTTCTCTTCTACTTGTCGACATCTCTTATATGATGAAGAACTAATGAAGTACCTTCATGACAGCAAATTTGATGCCATTCTGATGGATCCTGTGTTGCCCTGTGGACCAATTCTTGCTGAGCATCTCTCTCTCCCTTCAGTGTACTTCATGCGTGGGCTTCCATGTACCTTAGACTACAAAGCCACCCAGTGTCCCAGTCCTTTTTCTTACGTGCCGAAGTCTTTCATGTCCACTTCAGATCATATGACATTTACAGAGCGTGTGAAGAACCTCCTGGTTGGGATTTCAGAGCACTTGCTTTGCTATCTGTTTTATATAAAATACGAGAACTTAGCTTCTGAGTTTCTTCACAGAGAAGTAACAGTACTGGAACTGTTCAGCAAAGCATCTATTTGGCTGATGAGATATGACTTTGTTTTTGAGTATCCGCGCCCAATAATGCCAAATATGGTCTATATCGGAGGCATCAACTGTGAGCAGAAGCAGCCATTATCAAAGGTTTGTCATTGTTTATATGGAGGGTACGATAACAGTTATTAGCAATTATTTAAAATCTGCTTTTTAAAGTGCTTCCTCTAGATTGAGTGCTGGGATGGCATGATTTGGAAGTAGAAATCTCAGGCTCTGACAGATGATCACAAGACCTTAGGTTTGTTGCACCGCAAGCAGCTGAAGGGTTTCTGTCTGGAAAAGCTTAGGTGAAGTTGTCCAAGCAATGTAGCTGCCGAGGGGCAGCTTAGCTTGTTGTAAGCATAACACCGTCACATTAGACAATCACGGCACTTGTGCTGTATCTAGATAAATGACAAAATAATTATAGGTTGTATGACTTAATATCCCTAACAGTTTTGGAATACTGATTAATTGCAGGAGACTTGATGGGACAAAAAATGGCAATGTGAAAGTAATTCTGTGTATATACCCAGGCACTTACAGTGTGCAATAGAGATTGATAATGCGAATGAATACCCCAAAAACAGGGGTATGCAATCAAAGATGGCAGAGGGAGCTCTTTTGCCTTTGAATTTGTGTAAGAAGCAGCAAGCCTTCAGGACTGTAACTATCTACCCTCACTCTCTAGCTTGTTTAAATCTCCCTAGTAGGCTGTGCAAATACCACAGATGCCAGTTATTCATTCTGTTTTTCAGACTGTGGTGATGTTCCAACGGCAGAAGTTATTGCCAAGCTTGCATCACATTCACTGCTGTAGACTGAGGGCTTTCACTCTGATAACTGATACAGTATAGAAACAAATCTGAAGATAAACCTTATCAACCCACTGTATATCAAATCTCTGTTGACCATTGCTTCTTGTTTACACTCTGAGAGCACGAGGTAATCCAAAGGGCAGACTTCTGTTCTGTGTTTTGTGTCTAATCAGCTGAGCAGACTCCAGGCAGGGAGTTCATCATTAACTGGATGTTAATAAGATAGTGATTGCCTGGGCAGGTGTTCTCCCATTCATAACTCTCTTGAGCCTTTCAGTGCGACGCGCTGCCAATTGCTTGGTGCTTCTCCCTCGAGCATTTGAATCTTCTGGTTTTAATTCAAACATTGAACTTTACCTTGCAGTGCCCAGTTATTTAGAGCCTTCCCTGTGCACAGATTACAAACCCAAGCTTTACCCACGGTTTAAAATTACCCTCATTTCTGCCCACAGACATACAGTCTGTTAAAAATTAAACACCTTAGTTAAGATTAAAGTGCAAAGTACCCCACAATTTGTTCCTTGTCCTGTGCAGTAGTTTTGCAGCTGTTTGAAACTTTGCTGGCAGCACAAGGAAAATGGCTTCTTCAACTCCAGGATTTAATTCTCTTGCCTCCTGGGTGGTGTTTTCCTTGCTCCTGTGGACCTTTTCTGAAGGTGGAAAGCTTTTGGTTGTACCTATTGATGGCAGCCACTGGCTCAGCATGCGCCCGGTTGTGGAGCGGCTCAGACAGAGAGGACACGAAATTGTGGTGGTTGCGCCAGAGATAAATTTGCGGATAGATTCATCAGCGCATTATACCATGAAAACATATTCTGTGCCTTACACCAAGGAATATGTGGAGGAAGAATTTAAAAAGATGGGGCACAGAAGTTTCACACCTCAACCCTTCTTGGAAAAATTCTCAAGAATGACAAATATTATAACCATGTTCTTTGATTCCTGCAAACGTCTTCTGTCTAACAAAGAGCTGATCGAATACCTTGAGGAAAGCCAATTTGATGCTGTCTTTATGGATCCTTTTTTTCCATGTGGACAGATAGTGGCCGAACATCTCTCCCTACCTTCTGTGTACCTTGTACGGGGACTGCCGTGCAGCCTAGACGTCCACGCTACCTTCTGCCCAAATCCTCCTTCTTACGTTCCTAGGTTCTTCACTCGCTACACGGACCGCATGACATTCGTCCAGCGTGCAGGCAATCTCATAGCTAGCCTGAGCAGTTCCCTGATTTGCAGTTTTCTTTATTCCCTGTATGATGGTTTGATCAAAGAGTTCCTCCAACAAGAGGCAACCCTGCTTGAGCTTCTCAGCCACGCGTCTGTTTGGCTCATGAAATACGACTTTGTGTTTGAGTACCCCAGGCCCCTAATGCCTAATATGGTCTTGATTGGAGGCATAAGCTGTGCTCAGCAAAACACGTTATCACAGGTTAGTTACCTTTTTTCCCCTAGTTTACCTATGACTGCACTGCTTGCTGTCACCATCAGATGGAGCTCCCGGCAGTAACATAATAGGATAAAGAGTGAGGTGGAAGTGGCTAGGAAAGCACTTTGCATCTCTGCATCCCTTGTGCCAATGAGGAGTCAGTTATTCTGTGGGAGACCTCCGGATTCCCAGACAAACATGCACGAAAAGCTGGGCTTTTCCAGCTTTCCCCCCAGTATTTTCTGGCTGCCTATTTCCAGTAATTTTGTTTTGCATACCTGTTTGCAAGGCTTGGTGCTAGCTAGGGTAATGCAGCAGACCAAATCATGCTCAAGCAGAGAACCATTTCTACATGAATTTCAGAGACGGTAACAGACCTGAACAAAATCCCAAGACCAACACTACCCCCAGTGGACCAGCAAGAGATCTTCTTTCATGTAAAATACTCTGTCCCAGGTCTGGACTGCAATATTGTGCTTGAACTATACCAAACTTCCCAAATATGGGATATCTGCCACTTTCCACTTAGAAATCCTCCAAACCCTTAGTGCCCTTTCTTATTTTTCAGTGAGAGTCCAGAGCAGGTATTTCATAAAGATCGTGTGTAGCACCCACCAATACAGGTAGATGCTGGTTAAAAAGACTTTAGTAAAATAACTCACCTATTCCCAAAGCAGGGCTGCAGAGAGTTTCCTAACAGTAGTGGTACTTCTAAGAAGAAAGTTGGACCTTGGCACATGAAAACATTTAAAGAACAGAGTAAAACTGATGTCACTGGTCCCACAGAAAATATAAAGGGCTGAATACACCCTGAAACAGCTGTATCAGTTCCACTGTGTCAGAAACTGCAGGAAACAAATCAAGAGAGCATCAGGTCTGCTTTTCAGGGTGCAGCTATCAGCAAACCTTTGATGGCTCCTTCTGTTGGGATCCAGTCTCACGCAAAGGGCCACAGCACTCTGGTCAGCCACGAAAATACGTAACGGAGCACAGACTAAGAGGGTCAGTCTCGGTTATCCCCTCAGACCCTAGAGATAACGTTTCAATTGCCAGATTTGTGGGAACATTTAGTTCATTTTATTCCTCTCATTTAACTCTGATACCTGCAACAATTCCTTCCAGTTTTGTCTTTCCTTCCTCTGGCTTTACCAAATGTTTTTCTATGGCACAGGATTTTTGCTCCAGCCTTCGACTGTTTTTATGCTTCATTGGAATCCTTTTGTTCTTGGATTCAAGCAATGGATCTCCTTGTCCTTCTTTTATTTAAATCGAACAAACAAAACAGATTAAAAAAACCGGCAGTGGATCAAAATTTTCTGCAAAGTCGTCCAAATAAATCCAGATATTGGAAGTTAGAGCTATCTGCTGTCAGGACACTTTTCAAAATGTTAATTCTCTCGTGCAGCTGCATGTTCTGAAAAGAAGAGCATCTACTCTAAATCCAGAGCATCTGACTTGCAATAAACGTGAAAATAAACCACAAAGTATTCACCTGGGGATTGGTTGCCAGGAAAAGTATGATGATGAGTTGATCCCCTTAATTGATGCAGCATCTTTTTTGTTGCACAGAAACTGATGCCTTTGAGGCAAGCTTTGCTACATGACATTTTAAAGTAATTTTTTTCTTGTGTCCATACTCAGTCTCATTTTGGGCTTCAATTGTGCAAACACTCACACACCTCCATAACTTTGTTCATCCAGTTGTGCCTATTTATTTTACCTGGCACTCATTTTTAGATAGATAACTGATTTTTCCTGGTCATAATTTAATTGTCAACTGTGCATTTTATTGCCTTTCCAGATGGTTTTCTGGAAACGTGACAGAAATTACAGCGTATGACGTGCAAGAGACTTTGACTAAGGATGTGCTTTGTGTTGACAGGAATTTGAAGCTATTGTGAATGCCTCTGGAGAACATGGCATTGTTGTCTTCTCGCTGGGCTCCATGGTCTCTGAGATTCCTATGACGAAAGCCAGAGAAATTGCAGATGCCTTGGGATCAGTCCCTCAAACGGTATCGTTTCCCTCTCCCCCTTCCAGCACAGCAAGTCAGCACTGTTTTCAACACAGTCTGTGATTGCCTTCAGCTTTCAGTGTGCTTGGTCCTCCCTTCTTTCTCCTGCTCCCCCATGCCAGAAGAAACTATCACCCCAGTTGCCCTGCACGACAAAATGGGCTTTACGCACCACAGATGTTTTCAGCTGTGCTTTTCAAACCCACTGAGGAGCAGCAAGTGGATGGCTGCTGAGAACTGACATCTTGTTTCATTCTCTTGCAAGGTTTTGTGGCGATACACAGGAGAGGTGCCCCCCAACCTGCCAAAGAATGTAAAGCTCATGAAATGGCTGCCACAGAATGATCTTCTAGGTGGGTCTGATATATCTTGAGCAGTACCAGTGTGTTTCTTTTAATCCAGTAATGCTGTTGTAAGGCTCTGTTAGCATTATCTGTGCTGACTCCCTGTATCGTGGTGGGTCACAGGACTTCTTTACAGCTGTTTGAACCAGTGCTTATCTTTTAGAAGCTTATTTGGTGCAGCTTCAAAAATGCAGAATTATAAAATGACATTGTTTGGAAAGGTATTCCAACACTTGACTATCGTTACTGTCAAAGTGGGGGTCTTTATCTCTGGTTAGCCAGTTTCAATGCCCAGTCATAGGGTTTTGGCATGTTTTTGTCTCCTAAACTGAAAAGGAAATGTAAGGTCTCTGAGTGAGCATTTCCAGACAGGTCATCAGGCTTTTCAAGTAAAATTGTATGCACTATTGCCAAGAGTGCATTTGTTGGTTAGACAACAGGGCTCGGCTCTGGGAGATCTGCAAAACCAGCAAATGTAAGACACGGTAAAAAAGCAAGCAACAGTAACATTTTCTTTAACCTCACTTGGCTCTGATTTCATCCTAAAATCTGAGAAGCTTTGGAGGATTATAAAGCCTTCCAGAGATTACCCAAACCAAGACTGTGCTACAAGCCAAGGTTCATTCAGACCCCTGTAATGTCCTGTTCTCTGCAGCCCTAAATCTGTCCATAAGAAATGATGCACATGACAGCCCAAAGTTCTTGATTTATACCTACTAGTACCAATTTTGTGCAAGTTTTTCCCCAGGGATGTTTTACTGTGACTTAACAAATCAAATAGCTAAGCAAGTCTTTCTTTCCTCCACAGCTCACCCTAAGACTCGTGCCTTTATTACCCATGGAGGCTCACATGGTGTTTATGAGGGCATATGCAATGCAGTGCCAATGGTACTAATGCCGTTATTTGGAGACCAGATGGACAACGCCAAGCGAGTAGAGTCACGGGGAGCAGGACTGACGCTGAATATACTTGAAATGACTTCGAAGGACATATCCACTGCCCTGAAAGCTGTCATTAGTGAGAAAAAGTCAGTAATAGAAGCACAGCCCTTCTCCTTCTACTGTTGTGTAACGCCAGCACTCTAGCTTCCAGCTTAACAGAATACTAATCTCTTTTTATATGCCTTCTTATATCAGTTACATCACTGAGAAGATGATGCTTGCCCTGCGTTAACCTTGTCCCTGTAACAGCACCATCCTTCTCACTGCCTGGGATTATAATCATTAGTTGACAAACAATGATAAGACAAGGGGTAACGGACACAAACTGGAACACAGGAAGTTCCACTTCAATTTGAGAAGAAACTTCTTCTCAGTGAGGGTGACAGAGCACTGGCCCAGGCTGCCCAGAGAGGTTGTGGAGTCTCCTTCTCTGGAGACATTCAAAACCCGCCTGGACGCCTTCCTGTGCAACCTCATCTGGGTGTTCCTGCTCCGGCAGGGGGATTGGACTGGATGAGCTTTTGAGGTCCCTTCCAATCCCTAATGTTCTGGGATTCTGTGATTCTGTGACAAGAACTGGCTGATATGAGAGGATGCAGGTATCAGAGAAGATGGGGTATAATTGCAGTGGAAGGAACCAAGTTGACAAAAGATGTGTCACCTGCTTAAAGACAAATCTGCCAGGAAGTGATGTAGTGGGCTTTGAAATAATGCCCTTAGAAAAGGCAGTTGGTGAAGGGAGGTGTGGCAAACTACTTTTGTTCTCCAAATCAGTGGTGACATGGGTCACTGGGGAGCCCAAAAAGGTTGAAAGGCTCAATTGAACTGGCTGATGTTCTTTGCATGAGGTTTTCCCACAGATGCTGTCTGCACAGCAGAAGGAGGAAGGAGACAAGTGGCAGTGCCTCAGTGTAGTCCAGAGGCTGTACTGCATCAGGAAGCATTGCCTTCCAGGATTTACTAAACATAGCTATTATCACTCATTTATCTTACAGACCCATTTGCTCAGTCTTTGCCACCCACCAGTGCTCATAAGGAGCCGTATGAGCACAGTCAGCCGCTGCCTGGCCCAGCAAGGCTGGGCAGTTCCAGCACAGAGCAGGAGTAACACGTGTGGGTACAGAGGTGGGAGAGGGAACCACAGTAGGTATCGTAGGCTTGCATTCAACGTGCCCAAGGTGCCCATCACATTTCTGAAAAACAGCACTTTATTGCCAGTTTCCTAACCGTCATTCTTACAGCAGTAATGCTACTAATGCATCTTGTTCTTCAGCTGGACAGCTTTTCTACACCCAGTTTCACATTTCCATCCAAATGCCTTCAACCCCAGAGATTTTGCTGACAGTTCAAACTAAGCTTTTCTACTTTTTACTCATACCTTTTCTCCTTTGTTTGTCATTTAAAACAGCACTTTTCTGGGACCATAAATTTGCCATTATCCTTCTCATGGGGTGGGGTAGGGGAAACACCACCAGAGAAGCCCCCAGTGGGCCATCAGACAACTGGCACTGCACCCCTTTTTTCTGGGGTCTCAGTCTCAGAAGCACAAGTCATTGAAAACACCCAACGTCTTTTCTTGGCAGGTACAAAGAGAACGTCAAGCGTCTCTCCGACCTTCACCTCGACAGACCCATCCACCCCCTGGACCTGGCTGTGCACTGGGTGGAGTTTGTAATGAAACACAAAGGGGCCCCACACCTGCGACCTGCTGCTCACGACCTGAACTGGTTCCAGTACCACTCCCTGGATGTCATTGCCTTCCTCCTTGCTGTGGTCCTCTTCTCCCTCTTCATCTCTCTGAAGTGCTGCCTGTTCTGCTGCCGCAGGTGCTGCTGTAAGAAGGGAAGAACAAGAAAGCCAACCAAATCAAAGTCACACTAGCAGATGAAAGCAGTGGTGGGAGATCAGGTCTCCACTCCAGAGCAGAAGGATCAGAAAACATCTCAAATTTCACTAAAATAATTGCTGACTTTCAGTCAAGATAATAGCATTCCTTTTAACTAGCATCATGGGACAGGTTGTTGCACTGATAAAATTTTTGCATTAATTAAGAATCAGTTGTTAAAATAATTTGTACAGGAGTGCTTCAGTCATTTGGGAAGATAATAGTGTGAAGTCCAAGGCTCCTGGCTGCTATGTCTTGGTGTACAGAGGACTCATGATGATGTTTATTTTTAAACCTCTATATGCAATGGAGATACATAGGGATTTCATAAGACTTTGCTTCAAGGGCTTTAGGAGACCCATTTGCATTAGTGCCAGACCATCAGCTTTATCAAGCACTTTGAAATCTTTGTAAAGCTGTTATTATAGAAGAGCCAAGTGTCATGCACTGACAACATGTCACGTAAGCCAGGCTAGATGCACGTCTTATATGGGTTTTGTGTATGTTTACTATACCCTGAAGTCAAGGTTTCGGCAGGGAAGTGGTTATAAAGCCACTGGTGTTTTATCAAGTTTCCCCATCAGGCAGAGCGCTGTATCTGGAGCTTACCTGTTAGGTGATGGGACCACTGTAAGCAACGTTCATAAAAGACCCTACTGATTTACTCTTTGTAAGTGATGTCCAGGTAATGACCCAAATCCTAGCCCTATAAATAAATCCCCAATACTAACGATAATGGCTCTTGTGTTTTTTAAATATGGGGCCGGATGCTTGTCTGTCATGGAGACAGAGCTGGAGAAGGGAAGGATTCAGTGCACCACGGTGTGAAAGCCACCTCAATGCACAAAAGCCATTTCTCAGCATGACTCTCTCTACTTGGTGACTCAGCATTTGCTGCCATAGGCCCTACTATCAGGTATAGAAAAAGTCAGAAAATACCTTAAACATAAGTTAATATTTAGGGCTCAAAACAGGCTGGGGCATCCCGATACGTCAAGGAAGCCCTCCTTTGCACAGGAGTCTGGGTAAGCACCTGGTGCTGTTATTTTCTATCGCTGTTTGAAAAAGCTGATACCTCAGTGAAAGCTGTTAAGTTCAAGAAGACAGCCTCTCTCCTCCTCAGCCTGTTCCCCATTGCAGTGCCAAATTCTCATGGGCATCCATGCCACCTGCAAACTGTCCAGAACCGATGCCAACTGTTGCCTTTCATCCTCTGCCTTTCCCTCCTCTCCTCCTGTCCCCAGTAAACTGAAGGAAACCCTGGGGGGACACAGAGAGAAGTCCCCACGGTGCATAACTGCTGACCTGCTTCTAAAATGCAGCTTTTGCAGCTCCGCCTGTTCCTGAAGTGACGGCTCTGGCTGTCCCAGCTGGAGGCAGGTGACAGCAGCACATCTGTGCAATGTCATGCAGTGCCTTTGGAAATGAAACCCAGCAAGACCTCCCAGTGCCCACCGTGCCACCAACTGCGGTGGTTTCGGTCATCTCTGGGGTTGGCTTCCAGCAGTTGTCTGATGCAAAAAACACCTTAAAGTGTCCTTATGGAGATGTTGTCTGAGTACCCTGCTGCAAACAGGCTCTGGATTGATCCAGTGACTTTCCCTTCCTGGACAAAAGAAAATCCACTTAATTTCAGATCAGAATTTAAAAAAAAATATATATCCTGATTGCAGCTGTTTGGGTGGTTTGTTGGTTTTTTTTTTCTTTTTCAACTCAAAACCTCTTGTGTAGGTGGAGGAAAAGAGCTGAGAGAAAGGGAGGAAGAATCAAAATTCTCATCCCATGGCTTTCATTTCATTTTGGAAAGATCTTTAACACAGCCAAAACAAAACAGCAGCAGAAAGAAGGTATTCTCCTCCTCTCCTTTTCCCTTCACTCTCCTTAACCTGACTGGTTTGTCCTGCTTTTTATTTTCCCTTGGATCACCAGAGAAATGAGGCGGCCAGGACTGGACAACCATCACATCATGCCCAGCAGAGGACACTATGATATCGCTAACAGGAAGGAGCAGGGAAAAGGCCATCATCCTTCCTCTCCAAGCCAGCCCGGGTGGGTTGGTTTCAAGTCAATAGTGACTTCTTTATCCACCTGTGCTCTGGCAATACTGACCCAGAGATGATATTCAGAATGAATTAGGGGCCAAAGTGTGTGGGATAAGCAGCTTTGGTACAAAGGAGGGAGCCAGAGGGACTGCAACATTACTGCAACACAGCCCTCCCAACACTTCTCAGATGAAGTTACTCTGGGGATGCTGTCTCCTTTTATTGCCTGTTATTTGGGTGCCATATAGAGCTGTGCTGCCCTTTAAACAGGGACAACAGCCCCAAGCCCCTCCTTCCCTTACTGGGAGAAGATGAGCAACAGAGCTGAGACTGGGTCACTTCCCAAAAGGGGAAACTCAGGCAGGGCCAGCCATTGCTCCTCTCCCTGAGCTGCGCAGGCTCCACATCGCTCCAGGGCTCCAGGTACTGCAGCCCAGGCTTTTCCAGCAAACCTGTCAAATCTCTTTGCTGCCCTTGGAGAAAGGAGAGGCACAAACACCCCCCACCTCCAACAGCCTCTTGTCATTGTCAAGCGCTTGCATGGCACCCCTTGGGAACTGCGAAAGCAGAGGAGAGCTGTTCATTTCTGTCCCCACCTGGGGACTTTTTTAGTATTTATTTTTTGCATGGATTTTAACATCAGACACACCTGGCTGCAAAATATGGGCAAGAGCCTCTTTGGCTTCAGGATGGGGGTGTCCCTGGGGACACAGCAGCCCTGGCTCCAGTAGGAGGGTGCAGTCAGCATCTCTTGCTGCTTCCCACCACCTGGACCACGGGAAATGACAGGAATTGCTGACATTTTTCTGCAGCCTCACCCCAGCCCTCCAGTCCCCTAGGACAATGATGAGGTTTTTCCACTGCCATGGAAGCTCTGGGCAGCTCTCAGGCTCCTCCAACTCCCCAGTGTGTGGGTCCAAGAAGACCCCCAACCCATGGGGATGTAGGGCTCAGAGGGGAACTAATCCCCTTGCAAGACATGGTGAGAAATTAAACGTGCTTGTTATTCAAGTGCAGAGCAAGAAACAGCAGTGACCTGCAAACGAGCACTCCCTGCTCCTCCCTTGTGCAGGGCTCCCAGGGCCAGACACCCGCAGAGGGGTCCTCAGTGCTGTCTTGCCCTGTGTGCTCACACTCAGACCTGCAACTACTTCATTTCATTTTTTTTTTAAGTTCTGTTTTTTGGGTGGCTTTGTAAAAAGCCAATACTTACTGCTGCTAGCAGCCAGCCATTACTCCAGTTTGGGGGGTTTCACAGGAGCTCCCACTCCCCCTTTCAGCCTTGTTTCCCACCGTGGGAAAGCACTGAAAGCTCGAGATGAATAAGTGTGATAAGTGTACCCGCTTCCCTTAGGAGTGTGGACAAGAGGTACTGACCTGCCAGGAGCAGCACCAGCCTTGTTTAATAACAAAACAAAAGCTCACCCCAAAACCACATGCATCCACCACCAAGGTTGCTTTAGGATTGCAGGGGTGATGACGGTGACTGTCCAGAGCCCTGCCCTCCTCCCTGAAAGCCTGGGGAGCAGCACAGGGGTAATGCTGGGTGGGCAGCACCACATCGCCCTCCACAGTCCCCACAGGACGTGGTCAAGGCTGCCCCACAACATATCACATCTACAGAGCTGGTCCTGCAGGTCCCCCTGCGGCATCCCAGTGAGTGAGCCTGGAGCTTGGCACTGGGGATGTCCCACTGCTGGCTCCAGTCCCCAGCGACGCCTGGAGGATGGCGGGGAGCTGACACTAGCAAGCCAGGTACTTTTAGCTGCAGCGGCCACACAGCTCTGCGATTGATTATCACCTGCAGAGGTGTTTTTAGGAGTTATTTATAGGTGAGTGTGATGAAACCTGGGGGAAGCAATTGCCAAAGTGAACCAAGCACAAAATGCAGGACAGCCTCTCCCTCCCTAGGGAGAAATGTGCCTTGCTGAACCCAGAGAGGGAGCAAACTGCTCTGGCTTTAGCATTTAAGCTCAGTGAGCCAGGTTAAGCCCATGTGGCAGCTGGGTTCAGCCCATAGCTTGGTCCATAACCCTGCTGTTGCTTGTGCCACAGGCTACTGCGACTGAACGGAGCTTACAAAGGAAAGACAGGAAATCTCCATTCACAAAGGTTTCCTTGCTCTCTGAGGATGGCTGTATTTCTGGGAGAGGTGATGCTGTCTCTAAGCTCATCTTTCCCAGAGTGAACTCCTGCCCTGCCTGCAGTGGGTGTCACGGCTCACATTAACCATCACGAAAAAAGCTGCTGTCGCACAATTCTGCTTTGACAGGTACTAGCAAGTGCTCCCAGCATCAATTCCCCGTCTATTATGGATGGGTGAAAGGTTTCATATGCCAGATCTGATCGCTTAAGGATGATAAAAGCAAGTCATCAGCACAGGCTTTTCGGGCATCAGCAAATCCTAAATCCCTCCCAGCAAGATACTGGCTGGCTTTTCTAACCACGTGACCTCTCTTCGAAAGCCAGCCTGAACAAATGGAGCAGATTTCTTCTGGGACATGCTCCCAGCCTAGATTATCTCAGGGGGGAGACATGGTTCCCCCTTTGCTGAGGCAGATCCAAGCAGGCTGCATCTGTTACCAAGCATCCCTCTCTGGCTCCTCACTCTCCCAGCAAGGCACGGGACCACATCCCAGTGACTCGCTTTGTGCTGGATGAGACACTGCAAAGTGTCTGCTGGAAGCTTTAATTAATGTTTAGTGGGGGATAATCAAAGCAGGGCAGGAACCCAAGGTTTGTTATCTTCTGGAGGCTGCTGAAAAGGCTATGGAGCCATCCTTTGAGTGTTGGCCACAACCGGTTGGTCCAAACTCCTTGGAGGAGTGGGTCTGAGATTATTTCAGTGTACCACGAGGGATGCTGCGGGATGGATTCAGGGATGGGCAGGGGAAGGGAAAACCACAACCAGCAGTCCTGATGGCACGTGAGTCTGTTCAAAGGTAATAAAAACAGCACGTTCATCTTCCCAGCCAGAGATTTCTTCCTTTTTATATAGGACACCAGGGTCCTTCCACCCCAAATCAAACCACCAGTCACCCTTTACAGAACTGAATGCTCAACAAATGAAGCTTGCCTGTTTTTTACCAGGCTCCTCTGCACACAGCCTTTGGGAAAAACATGTCTTTATATTCTTCTTTTTTCCTCCTATTGTAAAAAAAAACCAACAAACCAACAAACCCAAAACCCACTAATGTATCATTTGTTGCGTGGAAGCCCCTGAATTTCACCCATTAAGCCTGCTAAGTTGTGAAGAGGTGAGCCCCAA